CGTTGCTCTGGAGGAAGGCATTAAATATTGAGCTTTCAAAAACATGCTGTGCTTTTGGAAGATCTGCATGTAAATGATGTAAATGCCTTGGGGCTGCTTATTAAGCTGGAGTTGGTCTAGCTTTGACTAGAAAAAAATGTTCAAAACTAGAAGAGACTGACAGAGTTGCAACTTACTGATGTTTGGAGATGTGTTGGACTTAGTCCACCTCAAAAGTCTGAGCCTGAGCTTTGCTGTTTTGCTGAAATGCTTGTGTTCCATGGGGAGCCCACGTGCAGTCATGCCTGGCTGCATTGTGGGAGGCCAGAGCTCAGACTAAGCCCTCTTCAAAAGCCCCCTTCAGAGCTTGGAGGCAGAAGAAAGGTTGCTAACAGTTGCAATTCAATCATGCTGTTGGTTCAGCAACCTCTTAGCCCTCTCACAGCTGCTGGGAGAAGAGACGCCCACTCCTTGAGATGAAGGTGAAGATGAAGATGATGCTGACTGTACGGACAATGATGATGACTGGGTAGTCCCTGCTTCAGTTCTCCCTTCTTCTCCCTTTTCCTCTAGGGATGTTACCATGGACAGTTGTGGTGACGATCTCTTTCTTCCCTTCTTGTCAGTGCTGTGGGTTCTCTTGCAAGGAAAGTTGAATGGGTGTGGGTGGGTGCACAGCCAGGTTTTATCCCAGCATGTAACTAAGCAGCAGCCAATGTATCCAGGTGGGATCCAGGCCCACCGCGCACTCCTGCCCTGCACTGAGGACAGAACTACATCTTTCCCAATTAAAAAGGACTGCATGAGGCAGTTTAATTGACAGGTGTTAATTGCTTCACAGGCTGTGAAGCTCTGAGCTGTGAGCACTCACAGGTGCAAGGCAACATGAAGAAGGTGTCTGGGGCTCAGGTTTCTGGTTGCAGATGTGCTGGCATGTGGCAAGGGACTGGAGGAACAGTGTGGTCTAGACCATTAATCCAACTCAAATGGTTGCAATTCAATCTTTTTTGACTGAGTGGGATGACAGCAGTTCAGAAATAAAAGCATCTTACGTGTCTTTTTAAAACTTCACAGCTACTGTTTCTTCAGTAGTTTTTTCTCTTTTTTAGCAAAACTCCCACCCCAATATTCAGGCTTCTTTGGTTGTCAACAAAAAATACCGCTAGAAACCACAGCCTCCTGAGTTTTCTGCATATTTGTAATTTTGCAAACCATTCCTCCTTCCCTCACGCAGTCTGTCAGACTCTTCAGCTCTGCAATTCTTTCTAATCTATTCCTGGCGTGTTCTCTTCCCTCCCCATCCAGAGTGGCTGTTCAGTTAACAGCATGCTCAGTTGTGAAGGGCTGGGGGAGGCCATCACGAGTGTGCTGTTCCCCAACCAGTGACTGCCACGAGCATTCCTTGCAAGAAGGGAGCAAACCAGCATGAAAGTCTTGTGCTTACTGTTTGGTGAGCTTGCTCTTTTCTTAGCACTCTATAAATATGTTGAGATTTGCCATCTTACCTCCTTTTATTTTAATTTGGATGCATGTTATAATTGGAGAAGTGTGAGATGAGGAGAAAGAGCTGAGACCTGTGCATTCCCAGGGATTCCTGATACACAAACAGACGGGAAAAAATCTGGGGACCAGAACAGGGTTGGTTCTTTTAGTCTTCTGGTGTGGGAGTTAAAAAGCTGGTGTCGTGCCTGTAATTTTTGTGCTGTGAAACACTGCCATTGTGCTCTGTAAAAATCCAGCACAGTTCACTATAAATGGTATACCAACAGGGGAAGAACAGGTGGTTTAAGTTAGTCTAGATGTCTCCAAACCCTTCCTTGCTGGAAGGCTTCAGCCTAAAGAAAAGTTTAACTAAAGCTCCATGTAAGATCTAAGAGAAAATCCCAATATTCCTCTCCTAAATCAACAAACAGAATCCATTCCTGGTAAACCAGTCTTTGTTTTTGAACATGGGTGATCTAACATTGGTTTGTAAATAAACCCTTCTGCCTCTTCATCCTTTTGCTCTCCCAGTTAAGTCTCAAGGGTAAAAATCCTTCAGCTGTTGGTAAAAGGAAGCAATGGAGGAAAGAAAAACTTGCCCTTTGGGTGAAAGAAGGGATAGAAGGGTACAAAGGCTTGCTCATGGATGCTGCTGCGTTGAAAATGAGGGAAGTTTAGGTCTTGTGTCAGTGTTTCTGAAAACCTGACTTGCACAGCTTCTTCCCCGGTGGTTGTGCCCATTGATGTTAACCAAGACAACACTTCACTACACTTGGAGGCGCCTGGGAGAGGACTGGTGTTCTTGCCTCTACTTTCTCCTTTTAGAGTCTTGCTTAACTACATTCCAGAATTTTGTTCAGGATTGCTGTTAAGGAGCACCACACACCAGAGTTCACTTAGGGGAGAGATTTCAGTTTCAAGTTAGATGAAAAACTAACATGAATTCAAAAAGGTACAAATTGGTTACCAGTGAAATCTGACTGCAAACTGGAAGACTTCTTCAGGTTTGGGGAATTAAGCCCTGGAGCATCTGTCTAAACAGTGTAACAGCAGCAAGGGTCCTAGCTGGCTCAAGATGATGTTTAGCAAGGTTATGGAAAGGAGCGCACGACAGGATAAATGAATGTGTAGGAAGGGCAATTTATGACAGCAGCCAATATTTAGGTCTTGTTAAGAACAGGATGTGTTTGCTAGTCAAGTCAGCAGCAACTTCTTGGTTCACCCCTGCCTTGCTTTGAAGGTGTGCAGGCCATTTTCCAGGATCACAGTTCCAGCTCTTTCCCAGGACTGTACTTTAAGCACCGCCTCTTCTCTCTCTGGGGGTCCTGGGATTTGCTGCTGGGTCTGGGCAGGGTGTAGGTTTTTTGGTTTTTTTCAGGGACTGAAGAGCTCTCCTCTGAGCTCATCTGGACCATCAGGTTCCAGGCTGAGGTGTGGATCTCTGCCCATTACTGCTTCTTATGAAGTTGATGTGAAGTTTAGGATTGATGTATCAGTTTAGTACTTTGCAAAGGCCTTTTTGCTTTGCACACAACATTCTGTGAAAGGATGCACCTGATGCTTTTTTCCCCTCTCTTTTTTTCCTGCCTCTTCAGTAGAGTTTACAATGGTAGATGAACAAATTAAGTTCAAATCTGCTTCCCACACTCTCCTCCCTTCCCAAAGGTGCAACCTGGGACAGATTTCAGTCTCAGCTAGTGATGTTGGCATTGTTACTCTGATTGCTCAGTCTCTCGCCTCACTCAACTACTTTTACCTTGTTTGTGTATTTTTACATGTTTATTGTGGGGCCTGGTGCCAAAATCCTTTAGCATCGTGGGAAGGTGCAATCATCTCTTAGCAAATCTCTCCTCACTGCTTCCACACAAGTTTCATGCTCTGGATTTTAGGAGGCTGGAGCAATTAGCTGAAGTTGTGTCATTTAGATATGTTACAAACTATCCCAAATAAGCCACTGCAAGTTAAGTAGTTTAGGAAAATGACTGCCAAGTATTTTTCTGTCTGTTTGCATGTTCTGGAGTCTGTGTAAACCATGGTAATGTTAATATTGTCACAAATATGATTTAAAGCTGTAGGTCTCTGGAGCGATGGGTAAAGATAGTGAGGCAAACCTTTCCCATAATTTCATTTATCATGGAATGAAACTACAAGTAAATGGGTGTGTTTGATGAGATCACCTAGACAAGCATTGGATTTAGGGGGAGTCATAGGTGCAAAAAACATTGCTGGAATGCAAACATGTGGTGGGCAATTGGGTGTGCAACACATGAATGTCCAAACCACAACTTTCAGCCTCCAAAGAGGAAGCAGCTGCTTGTGAACCCCAACTGGCACATGGGCTGGTTGTAAGTTTTACCACCACCTGGATGAACCCAAAGTAGCATCTTCCAAATTGTCCTGTGAACAAGGGGTCGTGAGATATGAACAGAGCCTGCCTGGAGAGCCTGCCTGTGCCTCATCCTCTGGCATACTGACAGCTGGGACTCAGAGACCCTGCTTCTGGCAGTTCCAGGTGCTGGCAAAAAAGAAGTGCTGATAATCCCAACAACCCCAAAAGAGTGGTCTGGGAAAAAGGTTATGATCTTGAACAGAGGGAAAATGTTTGAAGTGAGGGCTCTGCAGGAAGCTGAACACCAGTGGATGGCCAAGGTCCTTTGGCAAGCCCACCACTGCCTTTTTAATAAGCAGCTGTGTGTCCCAGGAGGAGACAAAACCAAACCCTTTTCACATACAGATGAGAGTCAGAATAATTTTACATATTGTCATTGGTGAAAAACAGACTGTTTTTCAATTTTTTTAAAACTTTTATTTTTTTTTTTTTTTAGAAAAGGAATAACTCTGCATGGTAGAGTGTACGGTATATAATTTCAAAACAGAAGAAGTTATATGGAATGGATTATTTTCCCAAACTATTTAAAGTTGAACCTAAAATCATTTGTAAATCAACACTCATTGCCATGTAAGACAAAGGAAAACAATCAACATGTTTTCTGTTTGGTACAGATTTTCTCTACCTCTTCAGCCTGAATTTTCCCAGGGCTGGGCAGAAAAGGGGGGCAAATCCTGCCCATTGTCCTAATCATAATTGTACTGACCAAGCTTTGTGCTCTGAGATCTAGCAACATATGGCTTATGATACGTTCCTAAGTGAACAGTGCAACATCATCTCCACCTTAAGTGTTTATTCCACATTCAGACTGTAACTGAACATCACTCAGAAACCCTTTTCCGCCCCAAAACAACAGTGATAACAATGAGAAGCAGAAAGTCTCCAGCAATCAGATTTCATCCAGAAATCTGTGTAAACTGTAGATCAGGGTTGGGGAGCAGCACAGAAGGCAAAAGATGTGACAGCTTGATTCAATAGCATCTCTAAAGACTACTGTAAGACTGTCATTCTTTAGTCTGCATGTTGCAATCACAATTTGTTTTTCCCCTGCAATGCTATAAAGCAATATAAGAAAAAATCAGACTCAAAAGCAAAAGGTAGAAACCTTCATGGAAAGGTAAAGCTTCTGCTTAGCTTTGAGTGGTTGCTATTAGAAACAGATGTCCACAATCAGAAACAAATCTTGAATGTATATACACAATTTGGGTGGAAAGGGACATGGCCAAGGGTGAAAGCCCTCCTAGCTGACCCACAGGCTGTTTTAGATTGTAGGTCCAAACTACACCCACTGCCTTTTTGGTCTGAATAAACCAGCAAGGCAGCCACAGGCTCCAGGTGCCCTCCGGGCTCTTTGCTCCAGTGCTCCTGGGCTGTGTGGGGGCCAGGGGAAGGAGGAGAAGGAGGAGGAAGGAGTAACATTGTCCTCACTCCCCTCACTTTGCAGCTGGCTGAGTGACGCGTGGGTTGCAGCGACATGGGACATTATTCTGGGAAGGTTTAAGTGCACACTTTTCTCTTTACCCCCTCCTCCCCAGTCCTGTTGGAATGTATCTACATCAGTAATCAGGTAAGTATTACTAATAACTGTAAGCTAGCATGGTCACCCTCCCCTTTAGAAAAGGGGGAGAGCAATAGCATCAAACAAATTCCCATTTGTCCTGACGTGTAACCTTTCTAGATCCTGTAGAGCAATTATATGCAGGCTTTTTTCATACTAGAATTTAAAGGAGTCAAAGCTGGTAAAGAAACTGGATGTTTCCTGGCTTAACTGAAGGAAGTAATAAAACTGATTAAAGTAAGAGTGAAAGAAAGTAAGCATTAGTGTGTTTGCATCCTCTGATATGTCCCACTTCTCCATGTCCTGCTCACCAGCCCTTTTCATACTCTGAGCAAGCATTCCCAAACTTAGAGAGGTAAGGCTTCAGCTGAAATCTCACAGCTGAGACTATTATTTGTTTTGTAATTACCACAAATGTAATAACTTGACTTTAGCAGATCCATGCGGGGCATGTTGAGGACAAGGCTTGTTAAGTGAACCAGCACAGGAGAAGATTGGACAGGGGTGGAATCCCACATGATAACAGCAACTCAACAATATCCATCAGCATGGCATTAGCTTAGTGTGGATATAACATCAGGAGCTTGGATAAAGCCTTCAAGCTTTCTGGGTGTCCAGTCAGAACCAGGGAGGCTGCAAGAAGTTTTACCATAAAACTCCAGCACTGCAGTGTCTAAAGGAACTGAATCTCAATGGGCACAGATTTTAGGTTTTGCACAGTCAATCCTAATTAAAAATCCAAAAGTATAATGGCTGATGCCCCTGCTGTTGGAGCCTTAAGACACCCGTTAACTGCTGAGCCCTACACTTTTTTTTTTAATAAAACACTGTTTTAACATAAAGCACAATAAATGTGCTTATTACGCACTCTAACATAGAGCACAGAAATACAACACTACAGAGTGCAAGTCTAACCATCTCCACAGTGGGAAAAGTGCGAAGGTTAAAAATATGCATGTGGCTTAACACAAGATATTTTTAAAAAACATGACACGGAAATCTTATACTAATGCTTTCATCTTTACCACAAACATGACTGAAAACTTAAGGTCAATTGCTGATCCTTCTCCAGCAGTAGTAGTAGTGTAATCCTTTCAAAGGTACAATGTTGGAAAGATCAGAGAATAAAAAAACCCAAGTGTCCAAAAATGATCCCATTTACCACTTTTCCAGTAGTTACGTTTTTCAAGGAGTAAACGTGTAAGGTCACCTTGATCTTCACCATCAGTAACTGATACACTTGGAAACAGCTAAGCCAACCACCTGGACTGAGATCAGTTCGGTGTCGCACACACACACACACACGGATACACACACAAATACCCCACAGGAAAAAGTGCACTTTCAATTGCTGATACAAAAATAGATTGGCACATTCTTTTTGACACAGTGAAGATATCTTCTTTAAAAGCTTTTTCACTTCAAGAAGTTCTCTTGGAATTTGCAGCAGGTCTGTAGAAAAAGCGCTACGAGAATGCACTCAGTGGGCTTCCAGGGTTTGTGTGATGGAGAGAGGGGTGGTCATGGAGGCTGCCCTTCTAATTTTTGCCTACTTTTATAGCTGTAGTCCCTACAGGTAGGGTCAGTTGCCACCCAGTTTCAGCACTTGAACCATTCACCAACAGCTCAGTCTTCACCTGCTTTGAGAAAGTAACGATACATAAATTCGTCAAAGCCAAGAGTCAACGCAGTATTTCCTGTAGCCAGAAAAACTGTTTGGGGGTGGGGGGAGAGAGTGTGAAGTGTTAGGAGTCTGATTTTGCATTTCCAGTAGTAACTGCGGCTTGGGAGAGCCAAGCGGGAACAGTCGGGAGCCCCTTCCCCGGCGGCAGCTGGCGCTAGGAGTTCTGCACCAGGCGTCTGTAGTGTGGCATCACCTCGTGCTCGGGCAGGTGCAGAGCAAACTCCAGGGCCACCAGCACCGGGAACTCGAAGGCAATCAGCTCTCGCCTGTTCAGCCGGAACTTCTCTTCCAGTTTCTGCAACCACAGCCGGGGGGAAAAAACATAAATGAGCAAAAATGGAACGAGGGTTTGCCTTTCTAGAGCTTTCCCACAAATGGCATTATTCAAAACGCGCATGCTGCTGTCATTAAACTTCTGTCCTGATGGACTTGCAAGGCTCTGGGGTTAGAAAATTAGAGCTGTGTGAACTGGATGTTCTGAATCCTTACTGTGAAGGCAAACTCGCAGAGCTCAGCCAGCCATGCTATTTCTGACACCTTCGTCACTTCACCCATTCCACTGTGAGCAGATACATCTTCTAAGGATCACAGTGATTACCACAGCAGCAACAGGAAATTCCTAGCTTCATGCAAACATCAAAATCACTTGTGTAATGGACGACATGCATCTTGTAATTGTCCACAAACTTCCTGCACTGCTTGAAATCACTAGTTTTCCTTTCAGCATTAGACTGTGCTACAACGCCCTGTTGGGGAAATTATTTTGCCACAATTTGATCTTAATACCTCAGAGGCAGAAGGTGTCGTAAGAACAGTGAGTAATAGAAACTGCTATCCTCAGGGGGGATGAGATGGGTTTTATAGTTGTTTTTGTGCTGTAGTGTACTAAACCTCCCATATGCTCTTCTGTTTTCACTGGATTTGGATGTTACAGGCAGGCAACCAGTTGCTCAGGTATATTTCCCCCTCATCCTCCTCTTAGGATCTCCCTGGCTTGCTACTGCAAAGTTCAATATCTTATGGACCAACATTTCAAGAGAGGCCAGATCTTGCAATTCCCACTTGGCTGGATTTTTTGTGATTATTCAGAGGGCTTTCTAACAAACTGACTGTCAACCCAGCTCTGTGACTGTGGGAGGAGGGCATGAGTCCAGTCCTGCCCCCATCCATGATCCCATGTCTCTTCCATTGAGTGAGCTGGTTATAGCCACATACCAAGACACCAGCCTAACCTTCTGTAGCATTAAATCAGATTGGTACCTCAGTGCTTGCAGAGGATTATGGCATAACACCCTCATGTTACCTCTGTCATGTGGAGTGGGTAGAAGACAAAACACCTTACTCTAAAAAAAAAAATCACAAATGAGGTGTTCTGATGGGAACATCTCCTTAGGTTTTCTTGCCCAAAAGCTGAACTTGATAAATAAAAACGTCTATTTGACTCTATCTGAAATTAGTATCTGCATTTCATTCCCAAAGGAGAATCCTTACTGACACTCTTGAAAACATAACTAAAAGCAAAATTACTTTCCTGAGGGTTCACCTGTTGCCTTGTATAAACAAAATTATGCGCAGACACATCTCAAACCTCACAGTATCTGACACCAGGGCCTTCTATCCCATCAAACAAGCTTCCCATGCCTCTGCAGGGACATTGATCACTACTACTTCCACAAAAATGTGTAACAAAAAAAGATGTTTAGCTGGCTGTACATCTGGGAGCTTAAAAGAGAGCATGTCCACTGACAAACAGGCTTGCACAGACCACACACTGGCACTTCATGCAGATGGAACACTGGAAACCCATGGATACGTACATCTATAAGATGCTTGACTTCATGTTTTCTGAGGTCACTGCCAATTTTGGCTGCTAAAAGAACACAAGCTCCAGCACAAAGCTTTCTATTCTGCTTGTTCAGCTTCCCCTTGAGAGCGAGCTTCTCAAAGTAGACAAAGGCCATGGCTACTGTGGGCTCTTCAAAACCACATTCTTCTTGAGCAAGCTTGCGCATTTCTCTCTTCAAGCTGAGTAAAGAGACCAGACAAGTATGCTGTGAGATGAGTTTTAAAGCATTTCTCATTTCACCCTAAGAGCCATGCTTTCAGAGATTCCTGCTTAGTCAAATGGAAGAGAAAACATAATTTACTGGGCAGATATTTTTATGCTGTTTTGGGGGCACATTTCATGGCACATTTTTACATCACCAGTGACCCTCACTGCCCCCAACAGACAGTTGTGTCAAACTATAAAAGCAACCAAAAAAGCTCTGGCAGTTTTAGCAACAATATTTTATCAGAGGTCCTTTACTGCATACCATTTGTTTTGTAACAATGTTTTGATTACTGGCGCTCTGTATGCAGCTTTTGCTGCTGGTTATGGCTGGCCAAATCCAAGCTGACAGTTCTGTCCATGTACTGTAGCACTGTCTGGTAACAGAGCAGTGGGGCTCAGTGTCCTTCTGGCCACTAGGGTCAAATGAAATTATCATTACTTCAGTGGAGCAATATGCTACACTAGAAACAGAGATGGAATATTACAACTTTGCTGTGAAGCCAAATACTCTTTTTGCTTCTGGCCAAGGCACAAAAGCGGCACTTCTCTTTCCTCAGTCTCTTTTTACGCCAATTCCCATGAGCTTAGAGACTCTGTTGGGTTATTTTTCTGGCTATTTTAATGTAGTGCATGCCCAGCTCTCATCCTCATCCTGTTAGATGTGGTGTTTGACACCTGACCAGCACATGTTTTCACACTCCTCTATCCTCTTTACTCATCCCAGTAATCCCAGCAGTCATCTGACTAACTCTGCACCTCTGCTGGTCACTGCTCCTGGGAGATCAATCAGTGCTGTGCTTCCTCTCCTGTACAGCAGGAGTTGCACTGACATGTGAGACAGCTGCACCACGCTGCAGCCTTATCGAGCTTTGCAACTTACCTTCTTATCTTGCTGAGGGTTAGCTTGATGTGAGGGAACTTCTCCTTAAAGGTCTCATTCATGTCCTTCTTGAGATCTGATGGCTTCACATAGTCTATGACCGTGGTCTGTAACACAGGGCAAGAGAGAATTCCTCTTTCAGTTTGTAACAAAGAAGGTCACTCAATTCCCAAAAGCAAGGAATACCAAACAAGTTCCAACCAGTCCCAACACTTTCAGCAGACAGGAAAATTTAGTCTGAACTAAGGCAACTATTTATTTGTGACTGACAAAACAAGTGATCTGTTCAGCACAAGCTTTGAACAATACATACCTCATTAGCATGCTCAAAGTATTGCTAAGAGTGAGTTAAAGATAAATGTGGCTGGATGAAACCTACCTAAGAAGTCTTGTAAGATGAAAAATATTCATCACAATAACTGATATGATGACCAGATTTTGGTGCATACCTCTGTGTGGTTCTGAGACCCACTGTGAATTTCTCTCAGATTGATTCTTTAAAGAAACCACACGTACAAACTCTTGCCTGCTGTAGCATACATTGATAATAAAGTAAGTAACCAGCTTGCATGGCAGGTCACTCAGGAGAGTGGAAGGCAGGAATGCTGAGGTAAGTTAGGCAGTAAATGGACAAACGAGTCAGGACAACATTCAAAGTGTACAGTCTATTTCCTTTAAGCTTTTCATTCCTTTCTGTTGCAACCTAATGAATCTCCCCAAGTTGCAGAGGGTTCTCCTGGCCAACACAGCCCCTGCATCTGTGTGTGTCCAGCACTTCTCTTGTTCCCTTAGTCCTTATTCAGGCAGCACTTTGCCCAAACCCTCTGTCACCATTCACCTCACTAAAATCTAGCACCTCACCAACAAACCAACCTTTATTTTGGGAATGTGTCAATTCTCTTCCAAGCTTTAGCAGTTCTGTCCACTGGACAGAAGTGGAGAGGAGCCCCAGCTTGGGCATCAGTCTGGTCCCCAGGCATACAGCCCCTGACAGCTTCAAGCATGGAAGAAAGCAGCAGTGGATAGTGCAGTGCATTCTCCTGCCCATAAAATAATATTTCAAATCTGATTTCTGGTTTTGAATAATTTGCTTTATGGCAAAGGGCTGTTAACACCACACTAGAGGTGGAAAGAGGTATGTGAAATCCTTGCTGCATGTTTTGCCTTTATAGAAGGTGGAGCTCTGCTTATCCTCATGGGAATTGAAATCAGCCAAAAATACTGACTGAATACGATTTCAGGCTTTTTTTCTGTCATAAAAATAATATATGGAAGGACTTGGGGAATACAAAGTGCAATGGCTCTAGAGAGAAAGCAGACAATTCTCTTTCTCCAATCATATTGTTCTCTGCTTCCAAAATAAGCATGAAGAAGGGTAAAACACAACTAACTTTTCCTGCACTTTACTTATGAGATATGGTACTGAATTATCAGCAAATTAAAACAGAGCAGAGCATGTGTTTCCCCTGAATAGTGCCCAGCAGTATTTGATGCAAACAAAATAGAAAGGAAAACCCAGGTTTTTGCCACGGGCTGTTGTTATGGTCATGAACAGGTTTTAAAACATGGGCCATTCTGCCACATCAACACTCCTCAGCCACACCTGCTTCCCTGCACGTGTAGGGAAGAGCCTGACTGCAGGTGCAGGCAGACAGTGCAGCGCCCCTGAGGCTAAAAATTCATCAGCTGCCTTGATGCTGAAGCAGGCAATGTGCTGCCACACCTGAATAAAAGGAAGAGAAGAAAAGACAGAAGAGAGAAGCCTTGCCCTGCCCGGGTGGGAAAGCCTCAATGGAATGCGTGGGCCTGCCTGGTTTTAACCCTGCAGAGGCTGGGATGTACACATGCACTGTGCAGCCGTGGCTGGGCACTGCAGACAGCTTCTCACATGCTTCATCTCACCTGGCAGGGATCAGACCTCTAAAGCAGAAGAATTAAGATCTTAACAACTACCCCTTTTCCTTTCTTTCCCTGGAGTGTTTCAGCTGGCCTGCCTGCTCCTTGGTATTGTTGCCAAAGGATCATCAGCAAGCTGGGTGCTGCTGATGCACAGATATGCTGGGAGTTTTATGTGATAAGAGGCTTCCTCTCAGTACTGATACAAGAGGACACTGAAACAAGCCCCATCTAATTTAGACCACTGCTGTCTGCTGCTCAGGGTATAGAAACATGGGTCCATGCTTCTCCTTCTTACAGAGCCAAGAGACACTAACCAGATACATCCTATGCAATGTAAAGATGACTGTAGTTACTACCAGTATTTTTTGGTTGTCTTGGGCAATCCTATAAATAGTGAGCTCGGTGTTACCTTACAAAGCTACCTGACACCTTATTTCACGCTTCACTACAAACCTAACTGCCCATTGTTTGTTCTTCATTAGCACAGAGCTCATAGTTTTACCCTAATTAACTTGCCTTTAGCTCTCTCCAGGTTATCTTCTTCTATTGCTTACGCGCACAACAGAAACCACTTCCCAACAGAAAGGGCACAGCAGCAAAGGGAGGGCCTGTCCATCTTCCAGGCTCTTGCTGTGCCACACAGCAGGTTTCAGCTGCTTGCACCTCTAACAAGTCAGGGTGGCTCTGGGGGTCACTGTGCAGAGGGGCAGTGAGCCCTGGGCTCTGCCACTCAGCAGCAGCAGCAGCCCCCCGGGATGCACCTTTCCCCATGGCTGCTCTGCAGGCACCGACTTGTTTTACCTGGGACTCCTCCAGCCTGTGGGAGGTTTGCCAGAATTCAGCTAAATTCTCTTTAGAAGGAGAAAAGCTCTTTTTAAAAATTTCATTTAAAGCAAAGCGCTCAGGCGCTTGAGACTAAGCAGACAGCTTAAAACTAAGAACAGTACAGAGGTACAGTTATTTTTAAACCCAGAGATTTGTCAATTTTGTCCTGTTGATAAGGATCTCCCTCTTTCCAACCCTGAATACTGCTGCTTCCTGCGAGACAACAGTCTCTACGATACAAATCACAATAATGAAATCCAGATGAAAGCTGGTGTGTGCTGGTTTTGATTCATGTAACAGGATAACAGCAGCATGTTTGAACACACTGGCTCGAAGGCAGCTGTCTCATCTTGTCAGTGCCATGCTGGAGAGCTCAGCTAACTGCCCTTATTCTCAAGAAAAGCATTTGTGCAAGTTGTTTTTTGTCCCTTGGTTGTTTTTTTCCTTCATAGCTGCTGCAGAGGCTGGACTTTGAGCAACAGGATGCTGCTTGTCCAGCTGGTACCTACAGAAATGCATCCTGTGCATGCAGGACCCTGCCCAGCAGAGAGGCAAGCAGAAAATAACCCTAAATATATCTGTTGAGAGGTAGTTTAAAAGCAATGTTGGATTAACATCTGTTGAGTGATCAAATCAGTTACCCTTTCAAATGGTTTCTGACCAGGCACCTGAACACCCCTGTTGCTGGGGCACAGCACTCACGAGGTGACACAGAAATCTTGGTCCCCAGCCCTGATCCTGCCCGGGGCACCTTATGCACCCTGCAAACAGCCTGCACTGAGCAGCAGCCCCCACCGCTGCCCCTGCCCACGAGTAAGGGAGTGAAGCTGAGCTCTGGGGTGGTCCAGCAACCCACAAGAAGCAGCTGGGATCTGACAGGGGAGGGCTTGGACACAACTCCATCCTCCTCTGCCTGCTCCCTGCTCAACATTTACGCTTCTCCTCTGTTTCAGGCCACGCCACTGCCCTTGAGCTTCCTGTGTGTCCCACACAAAGCTGCCATGTGAAGAAAAACACATGACTGTCTGTCCAGGACAATTCTGGTATTGCCTGTGTCAGGGCTCTGATCAATATTGATGCTCCAAAACTTTACAAAGGGTTTGCAAATATTTCCCTAAAAGGAGCACAGCTTTTCTCCATCCAAACACGCTTCCTTATACATAATATTATTCCCTACCAGGCAGGCACTCTGTACTCCCAGAGCTGTCAGACACATGAACAAGGCACCGGGAACTACCAAACTGTCTCTCTCATAGTCTAATCTCCAATGTTTTTAATTTCTGTCATCCAGAGCCGTCTGTCTTGTTTCTCACAGCTTATTTGCAGGGAACACATTTCAGTTCAGCATTCAGCAATACTCCTTTGTGGGCTCTGTTACATTCTCTGTGTACAAATCTGTGTCTGTATATTTTACTTTGGTGATGGAAGCTGCATAAAACAAATGAAAACCTTGATATATGGTAGCTGACAGATGCCTGGACAGAGTGATAAATGCTTCAGCCCAAGTCTCTACTCTGCACACTTTTTGCTTGGCTGGCAGTTTTGAACTTGGAGCTCAGCTCGTGTGTTATTCACAAGTGTTTTCAGGCAGCTGCTTTCTCATAGGAAAGCTGTATATATAGTTTCATAAATATGGGAGGAGAGAGAATGCCTGAAATGGTTGGTAAGACTGGCAGGATGAAATATTGTAGAAAATAAATCCTACTTTGGCATGCAACCAGTAAAAGATGATCTAGCCTTGGATGCCTCTATCACTTAGCTTAAGAAGGATAAAATCAGAATAAAATAGGTGAATAAAATGAAAGATGAATGATAGGCTCCCTTAGCTGCTGTTACTGTGTATCCCTGATAAATCTGCTTCACAGAGGGCAGACAGAAGACTGATACCTGAAACAGACTTTTGGTAGGTCACTGATAAGGTCTCAGCCACACAAGAAGTGAAAAGAAGTCAATAACTCTGCATTCTCTGACTACTTTAATGCATCCCATAGGAGAACAGCTATGTACCTATCAACTGCCAGTAACCTAATTCATACACTTACGGCTTACGATGCATATATATATGATAAATCCTGACAGACAAGAGACTTTAAGCTGTGACAGAAAATGGTGATTCCGAATTATAAATAAAATTCTAAAAAGGGAAGCTAGACTAAAATAAGTTGTTTCTGTTGTTACAAAGTTACTAACATTCAAGGACCTTAAACTTAAAGATTTTAAATTTCACAAGGCAAACAGTCTCAAAAACTGCCTCTTTGAAATTAAGTACATGGAAGGACACCAGTTTATTTCATATTGTTAACACTCAGGAATTATTCTCAAAATAGTTATTTATTGGAATCTCAGCCAAATATAGCATCAAATGCATAGAGCACAGGATTTATACATGATTATCTACCACGGCTATCCTCTGCTCCCTGAGACTTTTGGGTACAAGGTCAGTAGCTGATAAAGAAGCAGCCTGGAGATACTTAATACACAGCTACAGAAGAGGCTCAAAGAATAGGGTGACAGCACTGAAGGACACTCACTGGCTGAAAGTGGAGTCTGCCTGACCTTGGTGTTCCTTGTGAAAGGCAGAATGAGAGAATGACAGACCAAATGCATTATATCATGATGCAGGGCTTTTGTTGGACCAAAGGGCCAGGGCAGCAAGCAGTTCTAATTTTAAAATCCCACTGGAGGACTGCTATTGAATAACGCAGCCCGGCTGTGCTCGCCACTAGTGCGGTACCTGGCAAATGCAGGCTGGCAGGCAGGCATTACAACAGCTCTGCAGAGTTTTGTGACCTGCTTCTTTTATTAGTGGTGTGGAGATGTCAATTTATTTTTATATAATTAAGCCAACACACTGACACTGCAGCTCAGTACCCAAACCTAATTCCACGTGTATCCTTTGAGCACAGATGGATGGATATTTCAGGGATGAGAATACAGAATGGGTCACTCAAAGTCAACGTGCTGCTGATCTGGGCTTTTCTTCTTCTGCTGCAAGTTTTGGCAGCACACAGTGACCAGCTAACATGCTCCTGTGCTTCTGTGTTACCAACAAAAGCAGTACTGCAGGATCAGCCTCCAGCCTGTTGAGAATGAGTTTTATAATCCAGCACAGAAGGAGTTTCTGCTGGAAAGAGTGCAGAGAGACCAGGGGAGCACTGACGAGTCTGTACATAGGCTAGTCAGCATGAGATTCGAGGAAAGAAATTAATGCTTAGTCTGGTAGATAAAGTTCCTGTTCTAGAGAGATTTAAGAATCTGCATGAATTCCCGTTTTAGCAGTATCAGCCAGGAAGACATCTGTTAACCATGACATGATGTTTCCCTTCCCCCCCACCCCCCAGCATGAATTTTTTCTACCTCTTACTGTTTATACTGCAGTAGAGAGTGCAGACTCTCCGACAAAGACAACACAAAATGAAATAATTTCTCCAGAGCAGACTGGACTTTAAATACAGCTAATACAATTAATAGAAGCCATAGAGTTGGTATTGGGGAAGTATCGAAGAATACTTTTCAGAATTGTCCCCTGACAGGCAATTTGTGGGTATTACTTCTAGAAATGCAAGAGGGAAGTGTATGCGCTCTTAAGCCTGAGACTTCATTACGGAAAAAACTAAACCAAACCAAACCAAAAAAGAACAAACAAAAAAAAAAGCAAACCCCCCCCAAAAAAAACAACAACAACAACAAAAAACCCACTGAAAACCAAAAAATCAAAAAAACCTCAAACCAGACTAAACCAAAAGCACTTCTGCTTCCCCAGAGCTATCTTCAAGGAGGAAGCTCAGCTTCTCCTTGAGAACAGCTGAGGACTTGCAGCTAACACTTCTCTCCAAGAGTCAGGGCTAATTCAGCTCAGTAAAATTAAAAGACTATAAAGTCAATGTCAGTGATGATAAACTTAGGCTCCACAAAAACTGAGCACACCAAGTGCTAGCTGCACGTATTTCTGAGTAAATCTAAACCGGACCACACATTTTGTCTGTCCCATGCCTCAGGATAAAGCCTGCAGTGTTTACTGATGCAGCATTCACACAGACCTCAACAGAGCTTTCCCAGCAAGCACAGAAATCCTGGCCTAAGAAGCACAAGCCAGGCTCATGGGAGTAACAGCAGCGCATGCAGTCTACCCTGCCGGCAGTGACGCAGCCCAGCATCCCCTCCTCTTCCACACCTTCTCCCCATTAATTGCTCTGACATCCATAAGGAGGGGTGAGGGGAATATCGACAAGCTTGCAGCTGTCAAGCATTAATGCTAAATCCCGGCCAAGTAACGAAACTTTAATTACAAGCTGCAGCTCGCCACGCACAACAGAATGCTGGGCGCTGACAGCAGAGCCGCTCTCAGCTGCTCCGGAGCTTGTGAAAGGCAGCAATTCCAGCCCCATTCCACCCAGCACTGAGAGGCAGCAATTCCAGCCCCATTCCCCCCACCACCGAGGCAGCAATTCCAGCCCCATTCCACCCAGCACCGCAGCAATTCCAGCCCCATTCCACCCAGCACTGAGGCAGCAATTCCAGCCCCATTCCACCCAGCACTGAGGCAGCAATTCCAGCCACATTCAGTCCAGCACTGAGAGGCAGCAATTCCAGCCCCATTCCGCCCAGCCCCGGTGGCTGCTCCGGCCTCTGCACTCCTCTGGCAGAGGTCTGGCACTGCTGCAGTGGCTGTGATGGTCAGGAAAAGAGCACAGGTCTCTCGCTGGCCCCAGACTGCAATTTACTTTAATTGCAGTGTGAGCCGATTTTTATATTTGGGGGGGAAGAAAATGACTTGAAATTATAAGGCTATTATGCTCCTGCTCAGACTGATGTGAACTGCAGGGAGAGGGGGGGGGGAATGTCAGGAGAGCCAGGAAAGTCTAAAACAGATGTGAGTGAAGTCTCCTACATAGCCAAAATGGCCTTATATTCAGCTCTATTGCCCAAACTGAAAATTCCTACTTAACCTGCAAGCTCCCTGAACACTGCAGCACTACTATTTCTCTCTTCTTTTGGCTGAAGGAAACACCAGGACCTTGTAAAATCTTTCAGCTGAGTACTGAAGAACAACCATCCACCCCTTAGTTTCTTGCAAAGCCATGCAGCTCCTGCATGGGACCACAGCTATGCTGCTTGGCTGTGGGCAGGTAGGGCAGGCAAAACCCCAGCCAAGAGAGCCCTCAACACCTGCCTGTGACCTACCTCAACAAAAGAAACAGAGCACTTAATGTCCTTTAGCCCTTTCTTAGATTAGTGCCTGCCTTCAGAGAGGGAGGTGGAAGTCCACAGACCCTCAGACAGTGCTGAAGAAGTGATGTCTGGAAAGGTACATTCAGGAAAAAAGCCCTCAAATGTCAAATAAGACATTATTTCAGATAAAGCAGTAATTAACCCTAGAGAAAATTTAAAAGTGGGGAGACCCCTGTCAATGCAAATATATTCTAGATAAACAATGACAAATATATTCTAGATAAACAATGACAAATATATTCTAGATAAACAATGACAAATATATTCTAGATAAACAATTGATTTTAACAACTGTCCTTGAAGTAATTTTTCACCTTTAGGGCATCTAGTCATACCCCTTGTCAAATCCCCAGGCAGCTTCTTTTTACAACAGAAGTACAAACACAAGACTTTGAAATGCTGTGGTCAACCAGCATACAGAGAAGAATGGCACTGAATACCCACTCCTGGATGGAGAACTCCCTTGCAGGATGCCAGCCTGGCTGCTTCCTTTTTACTCATTTAACCATGTCCACGAGAACATCAAGTTAAAAGGGGCTCAGAGATCTCAGGTGATTCCAGGGGACCTGTACTGCCTGGCAGACACTCGCAGCCTGAGGAAGGTCAGAAACACAGCCACGACTGCTAGAGATGTGTTCCCTTCGGATGTTGGCTAACAATGGCTTTCTCTTGAGGGAAGACAGTTCCCTGTCCATGACAGTAACCATATCAAAACCTGACCAAATATTTTCCCACACAGATGTAGCTGCTATAAAAGGTTGTGACTTTGTGGGTTGGCAGCCAAAAAATAACTCACCAGCCCTTAAAGGAAAACTGGTAGCAAGTAAGCAGAGGACACTCTGGATATGCCATTTGAAAATCTAGAATAAACACAGCCTTAGAACTCAGCTAAGCCTCTGTGTGTAACCAGATAAACATCCACATGAAGCACTTAGAGCTTATTTTGAAGAAGGAGCACCCACAAGCCAAATTACCCATGGGCCAGGGTGCAGATGAGAACATACAAAGGCTGTATCTTCACATACATCAGCAGTTTCTTAAATAATGTCTTCTGTTCCAAATTAAACAAGAACATGGACAGCACTTTAGACCTCAGTGTTTCAAATTCTATCATATCTGTATATAGATAAGAGAAGTAGGTCACCACTTTGGGGAAAAAAAATTATATTTTCCCTACTGCCTACTGTTACCCTGGATGTACAGTCCAGACAGATCCATGCTCACATGTGTATGACTGCACTGCATCTCGCAACAGTCCTGCTAAAATAATCTACAGACTTGGAGCAATCAAAACAAAGGCTACACAAGTATCTCACCACAGAAAACATTTAGTCAGAGCACAGAGCACAGAACAATTATGTCTCTGTATTGTTAAGGGTTTGGATATAGTGGGAAATATACAGACTCTGCTCGTAATTGCTGCAATTAAAGGAAGGACTATCCCATGGTGAAATAAATACCTGGGAAACCAAGCTGTTCAGAGCAGTGAATGATTAGCATCAAAACACAGTATAGCTTCATGACTTCAGAAAAACCCCGATGGGCATCCTCCTATTTTGTAATAGGTGCCAGTCTAAGGAAGTATAAATTTTCCTCTGAATGCCAGAGAATGAGTGCATTGTTTGAACAAGTCTTTCATCTAAAGCATTTATGAAATACGGCGGTAATAAAAGTGTTTGCTTTTGTAATACCTCCAAGAATTTGTTTTAACATGCCTTGAGAAGTAACTGTCATTTAGAACAAAGCATTCTGAACAGCTCTTATTAGTAGATTAAAAATAATAACAGTCTTCTTAAAATATGGCCAAATGAAACCTCAACCTTCAGAATTTTGTTATGGGAATTCCTCTGTCCTACAGAGAATCACTTACCATATATGAAGGAAATATTAAAACCCGCTTATGTTTGCCACATGGCCACTGGGGATCATCTAAAAGATTTGGGTCATATTCAACAAAGTCTCCCAGGTCGCTACCTATAAAACAACAGTTTAGATATAGAATTTTGAAAGGAATTAATCACATCAAGACATCTCTGGACTTAGCAGAAGTGGAAAAGGAGTTAACAGATAATGCACAGTATTATCTCCATGCAAGGTTTTTTAAAGATATGAAAAATTGTTCTAAGTCTTGACAACTCTAAATATTTCTATATTAAGGTGATTTGCCAAGACACAGAGGACCTAGAGCTTATGAATTACCTGGTAAATGTGATTTAGGGCTTAGAGAACTGCAAAATTATATAAAGCTCCACAGTGACTTTTATTCCCGGCAACAAGTTTTCATCTGTTCAAGCAGATGTTTTGATTTGTTTCATTTATCATGCCAAAATATTTTAAGCATATAGTGCTTTGGCTTATGTTTTGTGTCCAGTTTTGTAAACATCGCCCTTTCCAGCCTAACAAAGGTCACCAGTGGAATTTACACCTTCAGCTTGTGACTACTGTGTTGCCACTGTAAATTTTCCATAGCAAAGGAAGGTAAGGACAAGCCTGATGCAGGAGGAGCAAGCAATGCTGATGACAGGAGGAGGCACGCTGGGTGCCATCAGGGCTGTCAATACCGCCAAGGTGCTTGTTTATTTAACTTCCATCCTCCACAAGCAAGCCTTCTAAGCAAATATGGAATAAGCTGTGCTTCACCCACAACAGAAGACTGTATTTACTTCATTTAAGCTAATGAGGGGACTAAAACACATGTCAGTCCTTTGCAATAGCTGCCTGCCATCAGGGTATTAAAAAGAGCTACTTGAGACGTTACCTGCATCAATGCTCCCCTGGGTGCTGTTAGCTCTTCCCAAAGAAAGGCTACGATGGCTTGCATTGCGAAATTGGGAGAAAGATGAGGTGGAGTCTATTGTGTTCCTCCGAGTTCCCAGGGCATTGGTGGGAAATAGGAACTGTGTATAAGAAACCGTCTAAAAAAAAAGTCAGAATGGACAGACAGTTAATTTCAGCCCAGCCTGGATGCAGTGGGATGCTTTTGGTGCATTCCAACTGGAAGCAAGAGAAGCCAAATTAATGAAGGATTTTCTGGATTTAGTAGTTTGGCACAGATGAATATAAACCAGTCACCTACATTTGCTTCAGTGCAGTCAGTTTATTCATGCAACAAATGCTTTTGCAAAGGCATTGGCTCTTCAGCAAAACACACACACAAACACAAACACACAAACACTCTAATACACTGGATTTACAAAATCCTACTCAAGGGTCAGATTTAAAAACATATCAGTTTGGTCAGGTTTTTTCCAGTGAGCCTCGTCTGCAGCACATTTCAGCAGCTTCTTTACTGAACTAGCATCATCTATATGGGTCCCTCAGCACACAGCTGCCAGAGGCAAATCACTTAAACACTGCTAAACTAAAGCACTTTGTCCGCTATTTTTCTGTCCCAGGACTTTGTCTGGAAAAGTCTTACTGATGTAATAAGTGAGCTCCAGTTCACAGCAATCACTGTGGGAGATCATTTACTACCCCCCCCCAACATGGACTAAGTGTGAATGAGTAACTTGTGACAAAATTATTTTTAGAGTGCACTGATTCTCTGCTTGTACCCCTGGCCAAGAAAAAGCCATGCCTTGCTTCTTGTTGGCTCATTTTCCAACAATAACATTGCATTGAAGAAAAAAAAATGAGTTTGAGACTCTAGACTGGTTTATGAGGAGGTCAGAAAAGGTATCAAATAAACATGTTGCATGTGAGCTTTCATTATTTATAAGCAGACAGATTGTCCTCAGGAATTTACAGCCTGTGGTCTGGCCTGACACCTGGTTAGGTGAGCACAACATGTGTAGCAGCATTGACCCAGGGCCTTTAAATCCATAGATGACAGCAGACTGAGTAAAACTGAACTGTAGAAAGTAAATCAGGATTTCAGGAAGAAATGCTTTCTTCTACAATTAAAACTGCCTCTCCTCTATATATTTATTTAAAATCAATCGGTTCCCTAAGGATTCATATTTGCTTATTCTATTCAAGTGAACGAGCTTCTGGATTTTGAAAGACTCATCAGCTTTGTGCCACTGTCTTCCTGCTCTCTGGAAAAATATTGAGCAAAATGTTATTAAATACAATTGAAAACAAATAGAATTACAGCTACAACTCTCACCAGAAATTATTCTCAAGCTCCTGACTCTGGAGTGATACAGATACACTGCAGTGATACCTCCTGCTAGAGCAAGGGGAAGGCTGTGTAATTCAGTAATGCTTTACACACTCAGATATCGCCAGAGGCAAATTTATTCAAGGATACAGAGTTGTCTGTGTTGACAGCTTGGGCAGTCCTCATAGATTTCTGCTAAGCTTATTTACGGTTGCACATACTGTCCTTTAACTACTGTGTTATGCTGCATGTTGTATTTGTGCTTATTATTAGTTAAGCCATTTTTTCCCCTTATAACATCAACTCAAAGGGAGTAGGAACTGAAGCACCCTACCTTCCCATCTGCTCCGAGCTCCACACCTTCAAGACCAATTATTTCTTTCAGACACACTCCAGTAGAATGGCACTGGCGTCCACCATCCAGCTTCATGTCCCTGGGAAGCAGAAAGAAGAGCAGAAACAGCTCTTAGTACACACACCTTGTTCACCTCCCACCACCAAATGCTGAAACAAGGTGCAGCATCAATCCAGACATGCCAATGCAAAGCACAGACCAGACAACTTTTCCTATGGGAAGCACTTTTGTTGTCTGAAACACCTTACAGAAAAAACCCCACTTTGCTCACGGGTGAGGCTCAAAGCCCAGCCTGTGGCACAGAGCAAGGTTCCCCATTGTTGGGTACCTCTGACAGGACCTGGCACTGGGAAGGAACTGGAAGTCATACACACTTCAGGTGAGATACAACAATCCAGCCTGAACACTCCACTGCCATGTATCCAGCAGGCAGATGTTCCCACAGCACACCCCCACATTCCCCTACATGAAACAGAGGTAATTTCCTCTGGAAGATTCCAAGAAGGATTCCTGCTCCTTTGAGAACACAAGAGAGTGGCAAAAGCCCAGTGACCCTTCTGCTGGAGGCTGACAGGAGAAAGCCAGTTTTCCATGACCCTGGCATGGAAACTCGGGCATCTACTTTAGAAGGACTGACCCACCTGGCATCTTCCATTTGGAGATAAATGAGATGCCTGAGATGAGCAGGCTGTATCCCATGCTTTAGCATCATGACCAAAATGTGAGCAGAGGTAGAAAAGACTAGAAGCAAATCTGTGCTTCACAAATGAGAGCTGTATGTAACTCCACAATATATATTTTGCAATATTTTCCTGGCTGGTTGCTGCTGGAGTCCAAGTGTGTGCTCAAAACTCCGTGTGGGAGAGAGGCTGACATGGAGGCCAGGAGAAGCCCTGCAGGCTGTTCACTCAGTCGCAGGCTGGGCTATCTCCTCCTGTGACATACAATACACCCTGTTTCCAACCTATCAAACATTTTATTTCTCTGAAACATGGCCATCTTGAGCCCCCAGTAAGTCATGTACCTCACCGCTGGAAAAATCCAACATATCTATCTTCTGAAAAACATAGTTCACTGATAAAGAAAAGGCTGTATCAAGTTTCTAATCCCAACAAAGTCCTCTTAGTTTCTTGATTGGAGTTCACTTAGCACAGTGTCATATTATCATTCTTGTTTCCTGATATCATGTTACTGAGGGGTTGGACTAATAATGGTGTAAAAATAGCTCTCTGTCATAAGCATGGTATCAGCCTCTCTGCTCCTGCGCAGAAAGAGCTTAAGGGAACTATTTCTCACAGAGATAAATGCCAAATTGTAACTATTTCAGCAGTTATCTATGAAACAAACACACAACCTGAGGAAGCCTCTGAACCCCAAAATGAAAACAAATATGTGAACTACCTGAAATCAGAATAGTGTAGTTTCTTTCCATTCAAGACCCTACAGATACAGAGCAAGAAATAATGCTGTTACAACTCTGAAAACATGCCATGGAGAAATTTTTCCATATAATTAACAGACATGGATAGATAACTGTCATTCATCAAATGGAAACCTATCACCCTTTGAAAAGTCAGCACAGCAGCTTTAAAAAATAAAAAACATCTCTGAGGACTGGAAAGAAATCAGTGCCTTTGAAGCGGGGAGCAGGGTCAGCTGGCAAGTGCGAGCACACGCAGGAATGATTCCTGGACATTAGCTGAAGTTTGATGGACACTATTGCCTCCATTCCCCGTCTTTCTGATGTTTCTAAAGAGGATTCTCCTTTCAGGAGCCTGTGAACAGCACTGCAGTAATTCTCCCTGTTCTGCAAAAGCTACTTGGGGTGTTCCCCTTCTCCACATATGCTCTATATTTCTAGAAAGTATATGATTGCTTGTGTTGTAAAATGGAGTAATAAAGTGTTACTGCTTGGAGAGAAAACTCTCCATAAAGCAGAGAATTAAACTCCTTCTCTTGAGGAAAATCAGTACTAAACAATGTGCAGTTTCTTATGAGCATATAAATGGAAAGGCTCATCCTGGCTTATACACATCCTCCTCTCTCTTGTAAAAGAGCTTGGTTAACACCTCATAAGGAATTCCTAAGCAACTTTACTATATCGTTCTTGAGTTCCCTATAAGTATGATCAACAGCAAGCAAATAAAATTTTTTGCATGACAAGCCTTTATTTTTTTTCCTCACTCCTATTAAAGACAAAGAGCTCAAGAAGGTCTTGGCAAAGCTGTTGCTGGGAGAGCAAGCCCAAAGGCTGCCTGCCCACTGCTGGGGGGACCCCAGCACAGCTGCTTCCTCCACACACCCCCAACATCCCAAGAACAACTAGGAAAGATCTAGGGGATGCTTTCCCTTAGAGCTCTCCAAATGGGTGAGTCGTGCCTGGGAAGGGTCAGGACACTTGTTTGGGTACAGCCACTGCACTGGTGTGACCATCACTGTCACCAGGTTTTGTAGGACATGTCCTTACATGGCATCAAAGGGTCCCATGAAGCAGGAGCATATGGAGGACAGGTATTTCATAGAAAAAACCAATCAAGCTTTCACTGTGTTAAAGTTATTTAAATTACCGATGGGACTGAGGAACTGCACAAACCACTGTCCAATAGTAAATGATGCTTAGAAAATGCAGAAAAGGAACAGCAGTCCTTGCCAAAGAGGCATTTCAGTAAGGAAAACTTCCTTCCTCCTCTTCCTCAGTTTTGATTTTCATGCTTTATTTCCAAAAGTGCTTTTTAGGAAACTTCAAAGAATTCAAGCAGACACCTAAATCCAAAAATAAACCATGGGAACTAATTTTACTACCTTCACTTTATTTGAGCAGGGAAAGCTTGAGAAAATGAGAAGATCAGGGATGAGATTTCCATAGGAGGCAAAAAAACTATATCTCAGTTTCTGACAAAGTTTGGGGAGTTACCCTGATTTACATCAATGTCAAGCTCTGGATATTCTATCCATGGATACCGTTTGTGGAAGACTGAGCAGTGTTAGAAACTACCCTCAAAACTAAATATACTGTCTCAGTTATCCATGAGTGCAGAATGTTGAGGAATACATGAGATACAAGTAGCTGGGCTCACAACAGGCTGAGATGCAGATTGAAGTGCAGAGCTCCAGGTAAGAGCCTGAGAAGAGAGGCCATGGACTGCCAGCCTTTGGGATAACACAGGGCAGGATGGTAGGTGACACCAGCCAGGTGAATGGACACTGGGAAACATAGGAGAGCCGGGAATTGCATCCTTTTGGGTAATAAAGGAGAGGAAAACCAGTGAGCCAGCAAGGTGGATGGACACAGAGAGGGGGGCAGGAGCCAAGGACTCGGGAGGAAGAGGAGACTTCGGAGACTGTGAGGGTATAAAAGCCCAGGGGTTCCTTGGTTGGGAACCCCCCTCAGATGCTCTGGCTGTTCCTGTGTTACTGCACCATGAATAAATGGCTTTATGGAACGAGACAGTTGGGACTTTGCCATGGGAAACCTGGGGTCAAACTTGTGAGGAAACCTGGTCTGAATGGGGTATGTGAGGAGTCAAGTGGGGACCCATTGGGTCACTGGAGCCACCCACCAAGAAGCAGCTTCAATCCCAGCAGTGCAAGTCTCTGGCACTGGAATGTGACCAGCAGTCTCTTGAGCAGTCAGACTGGGTAGTTTCCTTAGCAAGAAAAAAAATCAAAGTTTCTCCATCTAACAGAGTTCACAGATTTTCTAGGAACCATACCAGGTGACATGGGATCCCAGATTTGCTGTCAGATGGTGAAAAGTTTTACTGAGCAAATAGATAAGGATCAAAAAAAGCAATCCCATGTCTTCTACCAGCCAGGCCAGGATTAACAGAGTATAAATTGGATGCTGTTACCTTTGGAAGTATAACACTTCTTTAATGAACCAAATGTTATGCTTTGACATGATCTACAAAGTCCCATGCAACACTCCTGCTGGGCACTTGCTCTTTAAATGACAGTAACAGTTGAGCACTCTAACCTGTGAATAATTTAGGAGTCCATGAAATATTAAACAGACTTCCAGATACATGAAAAAGCCTTCTGCTTATTGCAAAAAGGAATCTGATAATTGTTGTTTAGAGATGTCAGCCCTCTGTGCCTGCATTTTATGCTTAGCTATCCCCTCCCACTGCTAAGATTTATTCTGAAAGTAAAAGAGGTTCATGAGACATCAAGAAAAGATGCCATTCTCATCTGTCAGTGTAAATAACTTTTACTTATCATCTCTGTTTATAGAGACAAGGACAATGAGAGCTCTGGAAAAGATGCACTGGCAGTCAGACTAGCAGCAGATCTCCCACTGCCTGAGACTGCCTGCTATAATTGATCAAGAGCTTTCAGATCCTAATGCCATTAGTGTTGCCAGAACAACTCCAGCTGCAATTTACAGGGAGAAGGAGCAAAAAAACTCCTGGAAAGATGGCTCTAATGGGTCAGCCTCCTTTTTGTCTCTCCAAAGATATTTAGCTGTCAGCATGCTACTCTTCCCCTGATGTTTTGCCCAACACAGAGTAGAAGTTCAAAATTTAAACTTACTAGCTTTTGGAGATTAATTTGTCAATTTCAATCTAAGGGAACAGGACAACTCACTCAAGAATGAGCAATAGCGGCTCTATAAAATTCATACATGAGATGATGAGTTTTGAAATCTCCTATTTTGAGGAAAAAAACTTCAGATTTACGTGTCTTTCTGTAAAGCTAATATTCCCTTGGTTCCATTTTTGGTTCAGTTTGTGAGAAGCAGGGAAAATGGGCAATGGTAAAGAAATGCAGGGATATTTCAGCTTCCCTGTCACAGGCTAAAAACAGATAGTTGTTCTTCCCCAGGCCTACAGAATGATACATGCTCAGGAAAAGCAGTCAAGATTGATGACTTAATCAAAACTGCCTTACATACAAAATCTGTTGGGGAAGAGCAGCAAGGAACTCTGAAGGATGTAACAGAGTATCCTGCTTTGCTGTCTGCTTATTGCAACTATCCATATGGCAATTTAGATGCTCTCATTTCTCCTGTAAATATTGCCCTGTTTTCCACACTCACTAACCTGCCAAATTACTGATGGCAGCAAGGCAACCACACGAGTCCTTCTTTTCGCCTCATTTTGCATATGGCTTTCTTACCCAGTTTAAACATTAAATATGAACAAAGATTGCAGAGTTTAGATAAAGAAGGCTGTTGGGAATGCCAGGTCTGTGGACGAATTGATCATTTTGGTTAGATACTAATTGGGGGGATGGTATTGAAAACCTCTTGCTCCTGGCATCATTGAACATATTGTCCTGGCCAGCATTTAGTTAAATCTGAAGTTAAATTCAGCAGTGACTTATCTTTAGAAACTGGATGAAGCTGGTTAGTAGCATCTCTGAGAAGGACACAAATTCTTTTTATCTAGTGACTTGCTGCTTTACTTAAGAAGAATGGTCTGTTTCCTGGGCATCAATCCATTTGATTACTCATGCTGCATTATTTCCTTTAGCTGGAGGCAAGTTTCATCAGAGGAGTACCTGCATTTTTGTCAAGACAGCAATATCAGCAGCTATGCCTGCTGCAGGTAAATTTCTATCCACTTAATGAATTCAATGCCAGGAAGAAGAAAAGATGAGGTGAACTGGCCATCTTTATAAGGATGTGCACTATCTGATGCTTTGAGTTTTCTGTCCTGCAGCTCATCACCTCCAGCCCTGCTGTCAGTCAGTCACTGCAAGCCCAGGTCTGAGTGCTCATGTAAGAATAAGCAGACTGCACGGCTGCACTTGTGTCCTACTGCCAGCTCTCCTCCTCCCCCAGGTCCTCCAGATTCATCTTCTGGACAGGACTTCACAGGAACTTGGAAGCTCTTAAAAGAATTCTTACAACATCACAAAAGATATTATCAGAATAGGTACAATTTCAATCCGTGGATGCTTTTGCCATTGATAAAAACAAGCCTAAAAATGTGTCTTTGCCAAAACACATTTTTAAATCATGAAGCATAATGGTGTGTGCCAAAGATAAAAAACAAAACACCCTGTGTCAGAGCTGTAAACCCAACTAACTGCAATACCTTTTATTTTTGGGGTGAAAACCAACATGGTACCTTCTTCCTCCTTTTTAACACCTCTAACAGTGACAGACATTGTCACTGTTCTTTATGGAAATTGCTTAGGCTATACTAATGAGGACTGGATTGTTCTCACTTGGCTGCAAGCATATGCAGATCATTTTTGCAGGGCAACACATCCTGCTGGCCACAGGGAGCAATGTTGACAACATCTGTGAGCACTGCCAGAGTTGTACAATGTCCTTGGAAGCTGATGGAGAAGCGGTGCCTAGAGAAGCTTCAGGAACAGGTAAGCAATGGAGAATTGTCTCCCTTGTCCCCTGCCCAGGATACCTGCTTTTTCCACGGTAGGCAGAATTGAACCTGGTTCTTCTCCACCCTGGCTGGGGCCACATGGTGGGTCCACAGAGTGTCCTTGCACACACCAAGCTGGGGAGTGGGGTGGGCAGAAACCTTCAGGAATGTTCCCAGAGTCTGGCTGTAACAGCCCCTCTTTAGGGACTCGAGTGTCTGGAGCACATGACCTCCTTAATGGCTAAAAGGATAATATCTGGTGTGTCTGATCCCCATCTCCTGTCTCAAAGGGCTGAAATCCAATTCACCTCAAACCATCTGGAACCCATCTCCAAACAAGTAATTCCTTCAAGTCTTATTTAATCCATCTGCAAATGGCTTCACTCTTTGGTTTGCCGTGACACAAATCCCCTCTGAGGGCCCAGAGCAGGTTGGCATGAGGGTGCACACGCCTGTGCTGAGGGGGTGTGTGGTAGGATCCCTGCTGCTGACCTGAGGCATCTTCCCCTGTCCTGGAAGTGGAGCAGTATCGAGGCTCAAGTCTGTTTGCTGTGAGCTTCCACAGTGACAGCCAGCCTCTGACAGAGGAGGTGTGTGCCACAGCAGCTCAGGGGATGCACAAGGTGCACCTCTGATAAAAATGGGAGGTCAAAACCTCCAATTTTCTGCCCATCTCAAGAACTACATGGGGATTAATGCTTATCTGTGGCAAGGAAGATATGAAATTGATACTGAGGCAGTTTCAACATGGTTCACAAAGTAGATCTTGCATCTTTTGGAATATTAAAGAAGACAGAGGACTGCTTTACCCATTAAGGTTTCCAATGCATTGAAAAATGAGAGGCAACTGCACAACCCAAACCTGCAGTACTAGCACTTGCCTCTAACCTGTGCATCACAGAATGACTCTGTATGTCATAAAACCAAACATTCAGGAAACCTTTCTCTGTGTCTGTCCAATTAAGAACGGAGGGAATAACACTGTTACAAGTGTTTTCACATCACTACATCACTCCTCTTAGCTACCACTAAACCCAGCCTAGATTCTGATGGGCTGTAACATCAAGAGGTACTGTAGGGCAAGGAGTGCCAGCAGCCAAGATGCTCAGCACCTCCTTCAGCTCCTGACTTGCAGTGAAGCTTATCTTACATTGCATTCACCTGGCTATATCTGCTCTCACACTTGCTCTGCTGATCTACATAGAAGAAAAGTAAGCATTTAGGAAACTTATTCCAGGGGCACCTCAAACTTCAACCCCTCATGTACAACTATGTCTCTCTCTCCAGACCTCCATTTGTATTGGTACAACCCCTTGAAATCGTGGTTTAGAGGTTTTTGGGGAGGGTTCCTGCTGTTGTAGTTTGACCTCTGCATGAAGGGCAGGCAATTGAGGACCACAGTCTGGAATACACTTCTCACACCTCACTGGTGAGGGGTGATGCTGCCCCATCCACACAGGACAGGTACATAGAGCTGGGACTTCAGAAAGTGCCTTTTACCTTGTTTTTATAATGGATCTGCTCCTGCAGACTGTATCTACCAGAACTGGTGGAGTACAGCTCTTCTGCACTGCCTCGAGTACAACATGGGCTGGCAGCCTCCACAAACAGCTGTGCCTGGAGATTTCCTCACTGGCCACAGTGCCTGGGAGTTGGAGCAAAAGTGGAGAAGCAGCAGCAGTTCCACTATGTGGGCCTCTCACACAGAACAGCTCCTCCTGCCTGCTCATCCATCCTGCTCTCCCACTCCCTCTGGGGCTCTCTTCAGTTCAAATTTCAGAGGTGTCCATGGCTCCCTGCAATGACCTGTTTCTTTTCATTAACTGCTCAGTGGTAGTTGCAGAACACAAACCAGCTGGGACATCTTACCTGGGGACAGACATCAGCAATCCAGGGATTCAGAGAAAGCAAAGCTAAAGGATGCTGTCATTACAGTACTTCACAAGAGTATCCAGTGTCTCCCCCCCCCCCTACCTCACATCCAAAATGTGCAAGCAAGCAAGCACTGTGCAGCCTGAACAGAGTGGCTATAGTTTATGTTATACTGCCTCATCTGTTCTTTGCACCAGCTGTTTCTGGAAGGAGGTGCCACTGAATTGTTTTTCTCTTCCTCTGATGCTCTGAAGAAAGACAGAGGGCATTTTTTGAAATCTTGGCTTTTTCAGCCAAGGGAACAGGGTTGGATTGTTGTGTACTGGCACTTTCTACCTTCTCATCCCATGCCCTTCTTGCTGTGCAAGCACAGTACAAGACATGACATGCTGAAATAATATTTAGTTTTGCAGCTGGGCTTGTTACTGCTATAATTTAGAAGGTATAACCAGTCATCAAAGTTTCAAAATGTGTTCAATTTTCAATAAAGAGGCAATTTCCACAGGATGATGACCATAAAAGAATGACAGTGTACGCAAGAACAAAGAACAAATCTGCCAGTCTGTCAAGAATTTGCCTGATGTGTCATCACAGTTCAATTAAGGAAAAAAATTTACTGTAAGAGTGAGCAGACAGAGTCAACCTCCTGACAAAGGTGCTTCCTTTGTGCATTAAAAATAATCTCCCTTTGTTTTGGATTACTGGTGCACAAGGAGATTGTGACAAATCGCTCTCCAGAACTAAAGAGATGGCTGGAAAGTATGAGCCAAATTTGTCTTTTATACAGTGGAAAGATTTGACTGTAGATGATTTGTGGATCTTCCAAACCCCCCTCAGTGTATCATCTGACTGTTTCCCACACATTTTGTGCTCTGAGTCAACCACAAGGACTTCTCAGGTCTCTGGCAAGTGAGCGTGGTGGCCGCGCTATTCCCCTGTGACAGGGTCAAAGAGCTGCTGCCCACCAGCACTGCCCATCCCGGCCTTGCTCTGCACCCAGCTGGCCATCACAGCCTGCCAAGCCACATCTCCCAGCCAAATCCAGTTTCTTCCACTTCTGTGGTTTCGGTGGAAGAGCTAAAAGCCTTCTCAGTCTCTGGAGAACTAGTTCAATCCAAAGGAACTTTTCTATCAGAGTTACAGTGTCTCAGCACGTCAGGGGATGCAAGGCAGCTGCACAGACAGCTATGAACCTGTATAAAATTATCACCAAAATAATGCTTTCACTGACTGAATGATCTGACCAGTGACTAAAAGTATTAAATAAAGTATTCTGTTTAAATCCAAGTATTTATTTATAGTTCTAGAAATCTAGATTTAGTAGCACTATGTTTGCCTAGGAGAAAGAGACAGCTAAGATGGCTTATACAATTAAAGTCATGCTGACTAGAGTATTTGTTTTGTCAAAGATGAGTGAAACCAGAAGAAACAATAAAAAAGTGCATTTTTTTCAAGAACACTGATTTCATGGGAGTAGTTTTCTCCAGCTTAATAATCAAAGATACCACAACACATATAAATAAAGTGGGGACTGAGAGCTGTAGTTTTAACCTGGTAATAGTCCACAAAGCAAATACACCTAAAAGCATTTATCTCTTCTCAGAGCAGACATGTAAAAGCATTAGGCTCCATCATGCTGTGTTCTGTTATCAGGTCTACATGCAGGCCCAGAAAGACTATGCAGTACACGTATGGATATACATACCCGACTTGGGTACAGTCTCGATATGGCAGCACTGAAAATATGCTACAGAAGGATCTTCTGCTGCTGATAAGGACTATTCTAAAATATAAAAGAAAATAAAAGAAATCAAAGACCAAAATTTAAAAATCCCACCACAATAAGCAAAGCAATAGATGTTACCATTCAGGAATCTGCAATCATGAAACTTCCATAATGGACGATTTCTCCGTCCTCTTTTACATCTCGCAGATACTGTGCTACGGAGTCTTTACAGAAGTGCTGAAGCCTGTGCCACAGCAAATGAGCAGCGAATGAGTAGTAGAGCCCCATTCCCTCTACAGGCTTTCTAGGAGGACTATCTTGAATATGTGACTTGGAATCCAGGACAGATGCTTTCTAGTGAAAGGAGTCTACCCACAGAGGCACGGGACCATTCTGTCAACTCACTACAATGGCTGAAACCCAACAGACAAACCCAGCAGCAACCAGGTGATACACACCAACAAATACACACTCTGGCTGCTGGTTGTGACCTTTCTCTGCTAAACCAATGGACTCCCTTGGTTGTCAGCTTCATGTTCCTGAAATAGGCTTTATCCATAGGCTAGGTTTGCTATTATGTTTCCAGATCCCTTCACTGTTTCCAAGCTTCTTCCTTTGAGTCTTCTCCAGTTTTGCCCCATCACCTTTCTTGGTCTCCAGGCATTATCCCTGACCTCAGAAGTTGCGCATCTATCCAGTCTTACCTTTAAGATGAGCATCTAGCCATGACACTGCCAGCCTCTGTGCTCAATAATCACATTAGCCCTCTTGGTTATGATGCATTGATACTCGGGCATAACTGACCCCACAGCTCCCATCTGTCTCAGTCAATGTCAGGGCTGAATCCCTCCTCCTCTAAGCATGGCTTGCCTTTGCTCCTCATAGGCAGTCAGCCAAGATTTGGCTACATGAAATCATACATCATCTGCCTGCAGAGAGCTTATCTCAGAATCCAGGACAGTTAAAGAAAGTGCCTTGTATTTCTAACCAGTCTCTACATCTCTGCAACATCTGCAAAGTCACTGTGTGATACTGTCCTGGTTTCAGCTCAGATAGAGTTCATCTCCTTTAAATCAAATAGCTTGGAGCAACCTATCTGTTACACAGCCACACTGCTGCCTTCAGCCCTCAAGCTCTGACATATTAAACAACATCAAAACCACCTTGAAGTCAAGACCCACTTCCCATAATACAGAGTGGGATGCCAGCAGCTACATTATTAAAGTTCTGGGAGATGCAGACTTGCAAGAAGCCAAGAGAAGCTTGGTCAAGAACTAAGATATAAAATGCCAGTCAGTAACTGCTTACAAATAGCCCCTTTTTCCTTATTACCTTCAGGACACTGAGAATTGTACCATTGTACAACTGACCCTTCCTCCCTCTAAAGCTGGCTAACAGGCTACACCACGTCAAATTGCTCTAAGACACAGTGACAGCAATTTGTGATGTTTTCTGATCTGATTAGTGTTAGAGTTTTCTGATATTTACCTTTCTAAAAATCTGCACTTGTGGTGAAAATGCTAGGACCTACCACTACATTGGCTGTCAGGGCTATTGCACTTCCTTGCTCCACTCTCCAACACTGATTTTTTTGACGTGTCCCACAGATCTGTATGTGAGGATTTAACCTGAATTTTTCATCCTTTGTCCTGCACTGGTCAAAGCTGGACAACAAACCCTTTTGCTCTTTCTTGTCTGAAAACCAGCACATGCACCTATGAATCTCATACCAGTCACCCTGTTATTAGAACACTGTTTCCTTAAGGGACCAGCTTAGTCATCGTTCTTGGAAAAGGTTTAGCTCCCCAAGAGAGCTGCTGCTGTAATCCTTGGAAAAATGCAGAATGATCGATTTTCCTTCTCCTGGATTACTCCGTTATGGCAATCCTATTTTCCTCCTTAAAATCCCGTTTGAAAGCAAAGAGGGATTTACCCTTTAATGAAGAAGGGTTTCTAACAATAAACACACTTACAGCTTTAGGAAGTGCTCCTGCAGCAGATGAAGTACAATTTCATTGTTGTAACAATTTCATTGCTGTAACACTCCTTACCTAAGGGAAATCTTAGATCCTTCAAGATGGTCTCATGGTGCGGCACTGAGTTACAGAGCAGGGAGGAATGATTTTTCCCATTTGAGAACAGCAATCCACAAGCAAAAAAACCCCGGCATATGATTAATTTTGTGCTTGCCACTGCTTACTGCTGAATGGTTGCTACTCACAACAGCTTGCTTGTTCACTGGAAGCCTTGTTTGCTGATGTATGAAACTTGGCACAGGTTTCGAGGCTGACATCAGAAAGCATCTTTGAATTCGGAAAACCACAGTACCCACTAAGCACATTATCCCCCTCCCTCTGGCTGCTTCTGGAAATACAGATCCTCCACCAACGCCCTACACCTCCCTAAAAATACCACTCAACTCTTAATACTTAAAAGAAAAACAAACTGGTGCTTCCATGTCCACAAGCAAAGACAACAGTAGGAAGTTACCACAGAACTGTGTGTATCAGAAAGAATCAGACAAGAAAGGAAATAAAAAGCACCAGCCCAGCCTCTATTTTTTTCAGATTTCTTTCCCTTGGGACCCAAGTATTGCCTCTTTTTCCATAAATCAGCAGATCCTCTTTACACAAAGATCTCCCAGGCAGAGCACGAGAGGAGCCCACAGCCTCCACTGCTAGGATGCCACAAAACCTCATCTGCAAAGCTGCCAAGGAACAGTGATGCAAAACAGCTTTAGAAGCTGGACTGGAAAGGAAGTGGCCAGATACTCATCATGGAAGGATAAAACAGCATTTTATGTATAGGTCTGATGACATGCATGGAAGCAAAAAAATTTCTGAAGGCCTGCAATGGTTTGCTGGGGCAGAAAGTCCAGAAACTTGCCACAAAGTACACTTTGGAGAAGAAGTTGTGGTAGAAGTCCATTGCTGCTCAAGAAAATCAAATTGTTGCTAAAGGGAGAAAAGTATTTTCTTGGATTTCAACTCTTCAACAAAGGGCATCTATGACCCTGCACACCTCTGAAGGAGTTATCTCAGAAGCTGTGTGAGAGTGTTTACATGCCTTGATTCCAATTGTGCCACCTAGACATGTTTAAAACCACTTCCCAAAAAGGTTTTCATTCTTTAATTCTCACATTTCACTGAAAAGTTGTACTAATTAGTATAGTTCAGAGCAACCATTATTTTGCAAGAGAATTCTGACAATGTGCAAAAGGCTGTAAAAACTAATCTTCCAATTTCTCTATGAAGTGTATACTGCAAAAAACCTTAATGAGCACAAAGCTCTCAACAGAATCAGTAATTTGATAGACTTGAAGAATAATGTCTGCTTCTCCCAGCATCTGTCTAGGTTTGATTGTGTTCCACCAAAAGGCTGCCATCAGGCAATACAATATACATCATATATACCATCCACATATGGAATATTGCAGACTCTTTTCTTATTCCTGATTGATGATTTTTGACTGCCAGGGCTCTGTTGCCCTGCACACAAAGGTGAGCACAAAAAACACAGATGCTGCCAGGGTGGCAGCCTTCACTTTGCAGTGTCAGAAGTTCAAGGGCAATTAGAAGGTGGCTGAGAGTTATTATGAACCATGAGGGTGCTGCCAATCATCAACCTCTTAGCCTGCGTGTGTGTGCAATTAAGAGAGCAGCAAAAAAGATATTTCATGATGGTGTTTGGCCTTCACTCAGATGTGTTTGCTAACAAAAAAATCTGAGAAAGCAATGGCATGGGGGTGGGAGAGGAACGTTGTTTTACTGCTTTTTATACCTGCCATATATGATAACTCTGGAGTCCTTGTCCCATTCTCACCAGTTACTGTTTGTTCAGCTGGCTCAGGTTGCCGTTTCAGTGGCTCATTTTTGCTAATCCTCTGCTTCGGTGTTTATGGAGGACATCACCAATAAACCTGCTGAGTAAAGTGGGTAAAACCATCCGCTGGTGCCTACCTGTACTAGTTTGTATGTCAGGGTTGACTTGTCTTCGTCTTTAAATGGGAAAATTTATTTTGTGCTGTTTTACAAGACTGCTTTGCTAGCATAGTCTAGGAACCCTCATTTTCCAACTCCTTTAATAAGCCACGACCTAGAAATCCAAAGAAACCGGTTTAACCAGTGATCAGAACTATCAACAGGAAGCTTTACAAGGACTGACTGATTAAGCTCCAGTCTGTGTATTTTTCTGTATGAGCTTTCTCTCTGTGTTAAATAGCTGAACTCTTATTTTAACCACAGCAGGTCCTGCCTTGCTGCAGGACTGCCAAAGGCTGGACCCAGAGCATCGCTGCTCAACATATGTCACCCCTGAGGCTGAGAGGGGAAGAGCTCTCAGTGCCACAGGACAAGGACACAACACCTTACAGGCTGAGAGATGCAAACAAGGGCAGCTACTGGAGAGAGGAGCCCTGAGCTATCACTCACACTGCAGTTTTCTTTGCTCTGACACAGTCACAAGCCAGTGAAACAAGTTCTGAAAGCGCTGGCTATTTTAAAGCCCAGTCATCAAATTCACCACCCAAAAATATATTCAGTGTAGATTTTTTCAAAGCTGGGTTCCTCATCTTAAGTGAAAGACTGACATGCTGTGACAGAAGGATCAGGGGTTTTGGAGGGAGCTCAGAGCCTGACTCCAGCCCAGCTCAGCACCTGCATCCTGCACAACCATCCATGAGCCACCTGGGACAAGGTCTCAAGCAAGGAAAGGAGTCCCAGGAGGGTTTTCTATCCATTACAACACCTGTGCTCCTCTGTGTCAGAGGCAGCTGGGGATGAGACCAGCTTCAAAGGTTTTAACGTGCTCAAAATCACTGTTGAGTTTAGGATGAATACACAAAGCAGATCCACCTGTATTTCTAGAGGTCCTTTTAATCCGGAATGCCTATTAACTCCAGTGACTACATCCAGACCCCTGGGAAAAACAGTCTGCACTCAAATCACTCACTGCTAGACATAGAGGTGACACAAAGTGTTAACTCCGCATTTCATTTTTAGCTAGCATCACTGCGGCTCTACGACCATAGGATGAAAACTATTGCCAAAATTGTGTCTCTCATTCTTATTGTATTTGTATTCTAGATAAAGAGATCTTTATTATGATTGTGGAAATATTCTGGAAAGCTGTGTCTGCTGATAAAGATAAGAAGCCAGTTGAATAACAGAAGCTTTCTCACAGCTTTCTTAGCAAGAAAAATATTCAGTTACATTGTGACATAATGAATGATCTTTGAATTAAGGTAAAATGTTGCATATATGCTACAAATACTTCTTTGCAAAACATCAAGAAAGGAGTTTACAAATCAAATGTTTATTCATTCTTTTGCAGGTATTATTTCTATCAAGTTTATGCCTAGATTTTATGTACACATCTCAGAAATTTTTCTCTGTGGAATTTGCATAATACCTCATAAGTATATTTTGCTATAAGAAATTCCCAGAGCATATATCTACTTATACTCAAAATGGACTAAAATTAAAGGGTTGCTTTGCAGTGTTTGATTCCACATATGTTTCTTATAAAGACAATAATCAGCAGCTAGTCAGACAATAGTCAACAGTTCAATAGTTCTGCATGTGTCTGTTTGATACTAAAGCTGGTTCTAAAAGCCATTTCTAAAATCCCTCAGGGCCACCTTGCACAACATTCATGTTGATTACTACCTTTCACTGCATTCAATCATATGTGTGAGAATAACAGCGAAGAAAATTTTTCTTGAGCCAATTAACACCTATCAGAATTCAATTCATAAAACCTGTGATTCAATGCAGTGTTAGAATTTCTACTGACATTGTTCCATGTCTGATGGAAGTCAAAGGCTACAGGCACAAATCAGTCCAACAGAGCATACATGGTTCTCAGTTTAATGAGAACAGGCACATGCAAGGGTCAACTCTCACTGGGCTAGTTTAGCCTACATGCAACCTATTCAGGTGGCCTAGTTCAAAACTACTCAGATTTGGAAGAACAAGAGTAAAAAAAATCATGAATCACAGGGAGAAATTATAATTGGAAAAATCAGGGAGGACAGATATGTTCTTTATCAGCAGGGAGGAGCCAGTTTCACTTCTGAGCTGGATGACACCACAGCAGAGAACCCATTTTGCTGATGGATACACCTTCAGCTAAGGGAATAGGCCTTTGCAGTAAGCCAGACCTCTCACACATCCCCTGGAAGCCTACATCTCTGCCTACATCTGCCATGGAAACTAGGATCCCATGCCTCACCTTGCCACAACCATCCTGGGCTGTGCATTTACCAGCAAGCTGTATCCACTAAGAGATGTTGGCAGTATCCCTGAACCATTGCTAAACTTGGTCCAGGGCAGGTTCAGCTGTGTGCCCCTCTCACTCTTAGAACCTGGCAGCATCCTTGAAGAAACACAACCAGATTAAGACTAGTTTGCTCCAACATCATCACAGATTTTCCTTTTTTGCAGGTTATTTGCATTTTGGAGACACAGGTCTTAAAATCTGTGGGCCAGCACTTCCATTGAAACGTACTTCCCTGGGGGATGGAGCATGCACTGCAGCCTGCACCCTCAGGGATTACCTGGCAAGGACCATTGGGTGGTGAGTGGCAATGGCTGTGCTGCTGCAGGGGGATGCTGATCCTGCCCCTTCCCTCACACCCCAGGGACTGCTCTGCAGAAGCAGCCCCTGCATGCACAGTACCTGCCGTTTCTGGTATCGTGCTGCCGCATGTTCTTGATAAAATGAACCTTCTTAAAGTTCTTTGGTCTGGGTGATCCTGAGAGTGTCCGACATCTGAAAAATAAATCAGTTGCAAGGGAAGGGAGGGAGAAGAAAAAAAAAAGTTTTCAGTTCCCTGCTGTACCGCCAAGAAGCCTACACAAAAGCAGGAAGGAAGGACGAGACAAATGATTCAAGTCACCCTGTGTTAGGAATCAGCAAGAACAATAAAGACAATAAGTCTGGAAACGCGACAGCTCAAACAAAAAAAAATATTTAAAGTAATAATGAGAAAAGGCACCATCCCACTCCCTTCATGCCAAAAAAAAATCATAAAATAATCTCAGCAAAGTAAAACTTCCTGTAATCTGCCATGACAGCTAAGCCCAAGCTTTCAGAAGAAAAAAAAAAATTAAACCAAATCAAAACCTAGTAAATATGCAATTTTCCCCGCTCACACCAACACCCACGCTTTTGCATGCTCCTCAGCTATTGATAAAGGAGCCATTGAGGGAAGTTCTTTCTTGTTTTAATTTTAGAAAGATTAAAAATCTCCTATTTGCAAAGATAATTCCTATTTGATTTTAACTCTAAATATTACTTTTCACATTCCTGATAGTATACAAAACAACTGAAAATAAAATAAACTACCCCAGGGAAAAAAAAAATCGTTCTTAAAAACATTAAGCCTTAAATCTATTTTACATCTGAATGCGCTTTATAAATTGCAGTTACAGATAGAAATTGCCAGAGGGAGGAGAGATGAGACAAACAGCAATATCCTCCCCCTGCCTTCCACCCTTGCTCCTTCTAATCAGCTGAAAGCACAGCGCATGTGAAAGCGTTCTCTGTTTCATCTCAGGCCTGTTTTGGTGCAGGGCGAGGCAGAGCTCCCTTGCAGGCACTGGAGATGAGTCCTGTGCTCCCAGCACAGCCAGGGCTGCACCGTGGCTGCTGCATCCTCCGTGGCACCCACGGGATCAGCATCCTCTGCTGGCGCATGGTGAGCTTCCCTAATCCATCTTTTCCATGCTCTCCCTGCACAAGCAGAGTTCAGCACTTCTCAATGAGGTCATTGTCTTGGACTGAAACCACAGACCACTGTGCCAGTCCCTACCACTGTACCCAAACACCATCGTGCTGCACGGGCACACCCCAAGAGGGGCACCCCATCCTTCTGCCATTTCTGCCTTCCTCCTGCTAGTAAAAGCCTTGAGATTCCCTCTGATTGCAATTACCCTTGTTAGCTTCTTCACAGGAAAATGGCACCAAGAGAGACATTCTACCACCGATTCTGCAAATTAGCAAGTAAAAATACTGCCTGGCAAACCATACTTTGTTTATATCTTTTACCAATTATACATGTTTGAATCACTTATGGGAACACTTCATAACATGCTGGTAAGCATGCAACAGTGAGCTTTGTAAAAATAATCAAGCTTTGGTAATAAGCCAATTGGTACAGCCTCTGCTATTCTTTGCTTCGAGGTAAGGAGAGACAGCCAATCTGCATGTGGATAAACAAGGCTGCAGGCTAAACACCAATATAAACCAGCTGAATTACAGGTCCTGAGATAAAGAGGCAGTCAAACTTGGGCTGCTGTCTTGTGGAACAGCTGACCTGGAAGCATTCCATGCACTGGTCAGATTACTGACCAGCCAGTTTCTGACCTGTTAAGCAGTTGCTCCATTTTCCATCACCCCAGAGGACTGCCTAGAGACTAATTGCTGTGGTCCCCAGAGGAGGAAGCTGTGGTCTCCCAGAAGCACAAATCAAACCACACTGAAGCAGCCAATATAACAAGGATGGGAGCAGTTTTATTAGTGGGGTAGCAGTCAAACCTACCAGCCAACACACAGACAGCAATGCTGGTAACCAAAAAATAAGCTTGCATGCGCTGAGAGACTAGACTAAAACTTCATTAAAAATACTAGCCTTCAAAAACTTACTGTATTTAACCATCTGTACATACTTTTAAAATGTACGACAGATGTTAGGGTACTACTGACTACGGGCTAGTCATTCATATTGGTAACAATGAAACTTTTCTATTATTCAAATCTGACATTTTAATTCCTGACATTTCATCTAAATACTGCCTTTTTGTTTAATGACCTAAAGCCAGGGAATGTGCAATTCATATCAGCCACCACCTTGCAGGGCGTGTGAAGTTTCAACACTTTTACTCACTAGGAAGGATATCTTAATGTGAAGACCCAGCTAGTTTTCAACATGAGGAGGGAGAGCAAGCCTGCCATGCATGTGCTTTAGAGACAAGAAGCCAGAGAGAGAGTAAATAAAATGACCTCCGCAGTGGGGCGTTTTCCTCGATGTCCTCCAGAGTCTCCAGAGAAGATCGCTGGGAGATCAGCCGACGTCTGCAGAGAAAGCAGAACACAAAACATCACTGCTGATTAGAGGGCACAAGGAAGTCCTCAGAGCTGTTACTGAGTAAAGATCACAAACTGCCCTTCACTAGCCAAGCCACGCCTTTGGATATTAATAAATTTTGTTCCGTTCTGCTTATCTTAATCTGTTTGATTGCACCCAGAAGCAAACTTACTCCATACAAGCTGCTACAGCACAGCAGAAGCTTCAGCTTTGCAACAGCTCCTCCTCAGTTTGTGCTCCCCTTCCTTCAAGGGTTTAACACCCATCTAACACAGTCCCACATATGCTGCAGTACAGCTGGCAACGATACAAGTATAGAGCTCTGACAAAATAATGCAGACGTAGATCCACAGAGACTGCCTGTCCTACACACTGCCACAGGGACACTTCTCTTTGCCCCTTGCACTTTCTACCAAGCAAGGGCCACTTGTTTCTCCATGATGTCCATCTCATCACTCCCGTGAGGAGTGTCTGAAGTGAGATGAAAGATGATAGTGCCAGTGACACTGGTTATAAAGCAGCAGTTTAAATAAAAGCTCTGACCATCCCCACGAGCAGCACAGGTGAGCTAAGCTCTGTTTTAAACCATTTTCCTATGTCTGAGTCACATCCTTCTCTACCTTCAAAGAAATAATTATGGAAATCTTAGCATTACCGGTTTTCTGGCTGTTCTAGCAAGCAGGAAAGATGCCCCAGTACAGTCTTTGCTTCAGCAGCCATTGCTGCTGCACAACCTCCAAACACCCTGACAGCAGCACAAAACAAGAACTGCACCCAAACCTCCATGAAACCACAGTAAATACCATAAATGAATGTGTAAGACACAGCCCACCCTCAGGCACACAAAGAGAAATTAAGCTGGCAATCATGGAAGCTACTCCGTCGTCAATGGGCGTCAAAGCAGCTGCAGCAGCCAGCAGAGCCGTGGCACTGTGCCCCTGCACCCGGCTGGCAGGAGCTGTGCCAGCACCCTTCCATCCCCAGGGCCATGGCTGAGGCACCTTCCAGTGACTTCATGGGTATGAATGACAAAAGTCTGCAAAGACTATTTCTGCTTCTTGTCCAATTCCCACTGAGCTGCCTTACTGCCTTCATCGGCAAGCAAGGAGCTTAAAGAATGTCATGAGCACTCCTATATGCTTGAAAGGTGCTCATTAATTTATTTCTGGGCTGCATTTTCACAATAAATTGTTTTCTGTTGCCAGTGTAAGCAGTTTCTAATCCTTCCTGCAATTCCCTTACCCCTCCAGTTGTGCTGCTACAACTGTTCCTGCAGCCGTGCTGCAAATCTGATTACCAAAATGTCTTTCAGTTCAAAATAACCCTGAGGTTCAGTGATTCCATTTGTTATTAATTCAAACACCAAATTTCCATCACTAACCCAGAGACAACACATTTCAGGGCAATTTGAATGAGCATGCAGCTTCTTCTGTCCTTAGAAAATCACAGAAAACCCCTCAAACAATTTATAGATCAACTAAGTGTGAAGCACAATCCTCTTAGGAAAAATATGCAAACCTAAATCCCCTCAGGCTTTGTCTAAACTAGGATTTTAGAAGACCTGGTGCAAGATAGGATACACCTTCCAAATGCTAAAAAAAAAGTCTGCATTTCAGGATGTGTTGGCATAGACAAAGGAGAAAAGACCAAACACCTGTCTCCTGCACCCATGAGTGCTCCCACAGCTCCATCCATAATCACAGAGGATACAGGAATGCCTTTATTGGGAAGAATTCAGATCAGGAGGAGCTCCTCCTCCTTTTTCAGTTTCACTGATCCATAAGCAAAAGCTGGAAGTTTCAAGTACCAGCACCTCTGGTAGATGACGTGGCAGATGATAGCTGTTGGCTTTTTAATACCTCTTTATACATCATTAGCTTAATAACACAAATAATGGCACGCTCCCATCTTGTGGTGTTACAACACCAAAAGCATTCTTGGCATGTTGTTAGTCAAAGGGAGATAAACAATGGTACAACCTTACCACCTTCTTCATGCTGAATTTATCAAATTAGTCATGCTGTATCTCCTGTAGATGCCAGGTGCTAATACAGCATCAGGTGCACATTCCAGCTGCCACTGAAGCCTTTTTCCAAGAGTCTCCTTGCCCAAAGTTATGCACCATCCTCAGCTTCATTGCCAATAGTTTGTCAGACATGGGTTTGAAGATCCTACATCTGCATCTGTCATTAAGGCACATGCAGTGGGTGGCAGTGAATGGCAGAAGCACACACAAGTGCATTTCACCAGCTGGTCATCCAGCTGCCTGCTGGGCTCCTCTGCTTTCCCTCAGTGCTCTCAGCTTCTTAAACCCAGCACCAGGGATGCTGCCTCCTGATTTTTGCTTGCTAACCTCGAATGCAGCATAGGCTGGGTGGAAGGACCTCACACCAATTTTCACCAGTATTGATTTTGCAGCGTTTTGGGTACCTTACATGGCAAGTGAATTGGCACAAAGGAGTGGGGGAAACTCTTTGTTCACCCAAACTTGGGAAAGGAGCAGTGAGCTCCCTCTCTACTAGGGCATGAGACAAGCATAACTGGATAAATCTCTCCAGAAAGAAAGGAAGAAAGCACACATAAAAGGTACCGACACAGGTAGCAGTGAGAGCAAGGATATCCAACCCAGCTGAAAACTGCCACATCTTTCAGCTCTCCCCAGAATTATTAGTTTTAATCACTTCAACTCCCAGCACTGACAAAGGAGGACCAGAGAGGTGGATTTGGAGCAACTCTGTTGAAATCAGTTCATACTGTCTGGGAATCACATCCTCTTTTCACTGAAGAAGCTGAGCTGCAATGAAAGATGTACAATTATTCTACTTTATCTTAAATCTTTATTTCAAGGCCTAATTAAGATGACCTAAATACCAGTATTTTATAAGCTCTCCACAGCTGGATATTATACTAGAAATGCCAACTAATGAACCTACCTGCTGTGAACAAAGACACATCCTGTGCCACACACACGGGACAAAAAACAATTCTGGAAAAGGAAAGCTTTTGAAAGGATCTTCCAGGGAATACAAGAAAAATCAGTTTTCCACTGACTTCATTAAGAATTAATCACCTCAACTGGTGTTTAGTATTTAAATTAATCATCTTTCTCTCTTCAGGCAAGCAGCCAGGATTTGTCTACAGAACTCCTAAAAGGGTTATTTTTCAAAAATTGATTAGGATGCTATAGCAGCTGGTATATGTAGACACTTGCACTGAAATAACCCAGACTGTTTCATACCACACATCACCATCATTCTGATGTAAAGCTGTGTTGATACCTATTTTGTGTTTAAAAATGCCCTATTTCAATAATAATTATGGGAAAATCGTTCTACTGCGGAGGACGAATATATGCAGAACAAAACAAAACAGCACTGTGTGACTCACACAGGATTCAGGCTTTGGGGTAAGTCTCTAAGCAGATGCAATCTCAATATAAAATGCTTTAAAACTTTTGTAGACTAAATGTCAAACTAACACAAAAAATATAATTGACCTTAATAACCAAATTAAAGATGTTTCAACAAAAATGTTAATTTCTCCTAGTCCACAGAAAGCCTTAAAAACTTCCTCCTAGTTTATTACTACATTCAAGGTATAGCAAACTTACCTTGCTCCCTACAGAAAAAGGCAGTTCAGTGCAGCTAGAAAGATGATGATTCCCTCATTCTAATCATCAGCCCTTGCAGGACAATGGTCACAGTTTCATGCAACTTACAGACTTGTTTTGTTTAAAAACCAAATAATATCACTTTTCCTTCAACACCTACCCATAATACTTTTCGTCTGTTTCCTTGCTGATGGTTCCCTGTGCAAGTACCCAGAAATAACCAGTACCCTGCAATCAAATTCCAAGTGCAGACCAAAGAAAAAAACATTTGAGAGAAACATTTGATGCCATAGTATTTTAAATGGCTATTTTCTACGATATCCATGACTCTGCTTGCATACTGGATTTATCTTTGAGCAGCTGTCTGAATCTCTGTGGAAGTTTCTTTAAAGCTAAAATGTTGCCTTCATTTCCCCTCTCCAAAGTCAGATTCATGTGTGGCTCAGTTGCAAAAATTAAATAAAATACAAGGGCAAAAAAACCCCCAAACTAAATACAAGGAAAAATTAAATAAGGCAAGTCTGTAGCCAAAACAGCAAATAGCCAAAGCAAGTAGACTGCAAATATATTCACCATAACAACCTCATCAATCAGTGGAATATTATCTTTGCTCTCAGCTGCTGCAAAATACTCAGTTCAGTTATGTTAAACACACAAAATCTTAAGCCACATAGACAGGAGGCGATAAAAAAAAGAAGGAGCTGCAATCAGAACACTGGATAAATTCATCCAGGAAGGCAAGAAGGAAGGAAGGAAGCAAATGATAATCCAAGAGATAAGGAAAAATAAATCCATGTGTAATGACTTTCTAGCACAGCTACAAAACCAGGAAGAAAAAGATGTATTTTAAATACAACTAATTTCTGTGAAAGTTGGGAATGTAATTTCCCCCCTGCTTCTGTTAAAATTACAAACCTGTAACAGCTGAAGCCAGCAGTGTGGGTGCTGCTGGCTCCCAGAACAAAAAACACCCCTTCAGGATAAGCTTCTTCACTTTGTCTGGAACAGCTGCATCCCTTCAGAGATGCAGTGACATGGGACACACAAGTGCCAGCCATCTGAATGCCTGCTGGCTGCATTAACACTGAGGGGAGAGCTTGGGAGGACAGAGACATTTCCAGAGCTGAGGACTGTTGGCAGCTCCCACATCCACTGGGCTACCTCCTCCCTTCAGGTGGCCAGGCAAAATCATGGGGCAGAAACCTCTGGGCTATTCCCTCCTGATCACAGCTGTGTTTACACTAATGTGGCTTGGAAGCATCAGACAAGCACAGGACTGCTTGTCTGATTCTTTATTTCCACAGTGCCTTCATCACAAAAGATGTATCCTACACACAGAAACCCTACCCTGGATAGGTGCAGAAGGGGAGTGGAAAGAAAGTAACCATAAACCCACAGTGATTGGGA